GGGGGGGGGGGAGGGGGAGGGCGCGGGACGGGTGTGTATGTGTATGTGTACGCGTGTACGTGTGTGTGTGTGTGTGTGTGTGTGTGTGTGTTATACAAGCGGGGGAATGCCCCGGTGGCTATCCGCTGTTTGTCCGTGTGGGACCCACTTTCACCACCACGTGCACTATCATCCATCATTCGTTTTGCTGGGCTTACCCAGCATTCAACAATCGTTCAACAAGCGATGAAGAAGGTGTGGGATGTGTGAGGGGTTTGGAAACTTGCAGTCAAGGGGGGAAGGGGAAGGGGTAATTCGCTAGGGGGGAGGACGGCAGTGTGAGGGAGAAAGGGTGCCTTGTTGGGACCAAGAGAAGAGCCCACGGGTCGCGGCCCTGACCCACGGGTCGCGGCCTCTCACCTTGTTCGCTACCCCCGCCTGGAAGACAGCAATGGCCTCCTCCGCACTGTCCACCTCGGGCTGTAACCGAAAGGGGTTGGGAGTTGGAGGTTGGAGGTTGGGGATGTGTGCCGTATACACGGAGTACAGGAGTACGGTGTCCGAGCAGGGAGATGGAGGTGGAGGGGATGAAACTCTTTGATAGCCCCACCGGCGGTATTGATCCACCACCGGCACGACCCGGAAGGTGACGGGTCGGGAAAGGCCGGGAAGGGCCGGGAGGAGATGGATAAATACACACACACACACCCCTCAACCCACACACCCACCCACCCCGCAACTCCCTGGCCCCCAATCCACATCCCACCAAAACCCTAAACCCACCCACCCACCCACCCTCCTCCCACCCAACCCAACCCACATCCCACCATGAACAGGTTCTCCAGGTAGAAGTCATCCTGCCGGGACCAACGCATTCGTAGAGAACCACCAACACCAACACCAACACCGCCGCTACCAACACCGCCGCTACCAACGCCAGGTCGTCTAGAAGCTGCGCGTGCTCCCCCTCCCCCTCCCCCTCCCCCTCCTCCGCCCCCGCCGAGTAACAGCCCCGCCACGGTGGCAGGGTTCAGCAGGTCGCGAACTTGTTCCCGGTAGATCTGTACGAACGAGCATCTACGAGGGAGGGATGGGGATATTCCGCCGGTACGGTGTACGGCAGGGCGGCGATGGTACGATGACGATGGTTGTCAATTTCGGGATCCTCCCCCAAAATAAATCCCCCAATTCTTCCCGCCGTACATTCCGCACCCGAGGGCATGCAGAGCGCCCGCGCGCGGTAGCTATGCAGGTGCACATGCAACACTATTTCATGAGCGGTCGTGCCCGAGTGGTTAAGGGGTCTGACTCGAAATCAGATGGGATCTCCCGGATAGGTTCGAATCCTGTCGACCGCGTAAACTATAATAAACAGAATCCTTTTTGATTGATCTGCGAGCTGATCAGGAATGGAGTTGCGGAACCTGAGCGATCCACTGAGAAGTTGACTAGGGTGACTAGAAGAGGGTGCCCCGAAATACCGGGGAAGGCAGGGTTTCGCAGGGTAGCTGCCACGGGCGAAGATACACCCCCCTGTTTCACATATCATACACACACCTAATCTGGAACCTTCGGCTGCCGTCCGCGGCGGCCATGGCAAACAGCTCCCGTATCGCCCGAGGCGTGAGGCCCAACTGCTCATTGGGCGTCGCGGCAAAGTCAGCCTGAGGTGCGGCCGCCGCCGCCGCCGCTGCTGCCGTACGCGCGGCGCCGCCGCGGCCCCCGGCGCTGCCGGCCGCGGCTGCCGGCGTCTTGCCGACGAGACCCGAAGAGTACCGGTACCCCTCCATGGTGTAGGTCTTACCAGAGCCTGGAGCAGGGATGGAGCGGAGAGGAAATCATCCGCGACCCGTGGGTCAGTGAGAAGGCAGGTTGGTTTCGGGGCATTTCACGATGAGGTCATCCTGGTGAGCCTCCGTGATGCAGCTTTTTCCCCCGCTGCGGTTGTCGTCCATCCACCCTCTCCCCCATTTCCCCTCCCCCGTCCTACCCCCCTTCCCCCCTCTTTCCCTCCTCTGACATGCAGACTCACAAATACACACACACACACACACAGACACACCGGTTTGGCCGTACGCAAAGATGGTGGCATGGTAGCCCTCAATCACCGCCGACACCATGTCGTACGCGCCAATCCTGCCGTACAGCTCGTCCTGCAGTGCATTGTCGTGACGCACACACTTTGTGAGGGGCATTCATGTGTGGAGTTTTTCCGGGCAGTGGAAGGGAATGGGGATTTCACTTTTTCCCGCGGCTCTTGCCAGGGGCTGTGACAGGACTGTGTGCAGGTGTATTGTGCCGCGTGTGTTGGAGGTCGGTGTGTGCCGACCCAAATCGCGGCACAATTACAGACGTAATACATATATATCTAGGATTGCGGTAATTTTGGGAAATAGGTATATGTGTGTCGTCGGCCGCTTGGGCGCCCAGGGGAGAGAGTTGTTGAGCGTTGGGTGTTTTGGAATGTCAAGGGAAAACATCCGGTTGGCTTTGATGTATGTATGTATGTATGTATGTATGTATGTATGTATGTATGTATGTATGTATGTATGTATATTGGTGGATGGATGGACGTGTTGATGTTTCTATTGATGGATGTGTTGGTGGATGGAATATGCGCATGGCTTTAGGGTGGCGCTAGGGTAGGAGCGGAAGTAGAGGAGGTTGGGGCCAAGGTGTGGGGTGATCTCTCTCGAGGGAGGGGGGGATCAAGGTGACGTGAATTCAAAGCCAGCGGGCAGAAGTCCATTTTGGAGATGGAGACTTCCGTGTTCGGTGTTAAAGGGCCACCTGCCTGGGTGACTTGGGGTCCGAAGACATGGTCAAACGTGTAGCGCCGCGCCGTACGCCTGTCATTGGCGCTGGCCAGGAGCACCTCGTTAGGTCGTCTTGGATCAAGCTGTAGGAGAGAGTGGTCTGTGGCGTCATCGCTGGGGAGGAGGGGCCTCACACGGACCGCAACTCGGATGGATTTGGTCTGCCCGGAGGCGTCCATTGCGAGCTTCCTCCCCTCATCGTTGGTCCCAGCCTGAAGTTGGGATGAGCTTCCACAGGTATGTCATAACTTGTAAGCTGGCGGAGTCTCCTTTCCTGAGTTGTGCATGTCGACTTCGGCACGAAGAAGGAAGAGGAAATCGAATAGCTCTTCCTGATGAAGGATTTAATAGTAGATATGTGGCAATATAGTCATCTAGCTCACTACATTATACTTACTTTCTGAGTGTTTTCAAAGTCTTGCCTAACCTTTAACTTCCGTACTCAACTACCAGAAGGAGTGTAAAGCTGCAAAAGTGTCGATGCGCAAGCTATGTTCGTCTTCACGAAGTGCAATATTACCATATAATTCTCACTTGTCCCAGATATGGGGAATACACTTTGTACTCGTATGCATCCGTTAGGATGTTGCGCAGTCACTAAAAAACAATACTACTTCAATCTTTAGTGAGCACAGCATGGGAAAGTCGAGCGCCGGATTTGACGGCACGATCAAAGCCTCCGGCTCCTGCTCTGATTCGTCGCGCCATTTCGCTTTGACCCTGCGCAGCCCCGCGCACAAGCAGCGAAGCACACCCAGCTCAAGCCCGCGTGCTTCTCACCCTCAGCGACAACATCGCCATGGTCACACAGTCATGCTTAAGCTCCTGGTCGTCTTCGTGGTGATGGTCGCATTCGCGCAAATTCTGGGGATGGGCGCCAGCCTGCGACGCGCGGTTCTGTCACGCTGTGCGGCCTTCCACCACGGAGAGCATCACACCGGCATCAGTCGTACAGGCAGTAGCGCGACCCATGCTGCCAACAGCTTTGTCGGCCGCCGCGGTTACTACCTTCATGAGGGGGGAGGTGTCTGGGCGCAGCTGTGTGCGGAGGCGGAGGCGGCTGTAGCCCCTACAGGCGGCGGAGCTGCTACTGCTGCTACAGGCATGGCGTCCGCTGCTGCCGAAGGCGATGGCAGTAGCACAGCAGCTACCAGCCTCAATATCGACGATAGAAGCAGCAGCAGCGGCGGTGGCGGCGACGATAGCAGCAGTATCAGCGGCGGTAGCAGCACTAGCAGCAGCAGCAGCGGCATTCTCTTTGTCATGGAGGGCCTCAAGATATTTCAGGGGGGAGCGGGGACGACGGCGGCGGCGGCGGTAGCTTCGACGTCGTCGTCGTCGTCTTCGTCGTACCATCCCGCCGAATGGCCTCGGGTGTACGGCGGACGCGCGGAGCCGCACAAGCGCATCCTCAAACGCTATACGGGTATGCCGTATTTAGTATACGGCACGGCACGGGGTCACGACTCGCGCGGCGGCAAATCCCGCGATCCGCCCTTCGTAACAAAGAAATTTCTCTTCCGCCACAAAAAAGCTGTCTCGTGTTGCCCAGACCCATCGCATGCTGTTGGAAAAGCCACGAGGGGCTATACAACCATACATACAACCATACAGACAGACAGACAGACAGACAGAGACACAGACAGAGACACATAACCCTACCCCCATATACTTCATTTCCTTTCTCCATCCCTCCCCCTCTCCTCCCACCTTGCAACCCCCCCGAGTACGGGTATGTCTGTCTGTAACGCCAAGGAGCAGTCGGTTATTCGGTTATTACTCACTGACCTTCCGCGATGATCAGGCAGTTAACCCGCCATCGCTTTGAACTCGTACGGCAATCTGCCGTATTTTGGATGTGTGTGGAAACAGTTGTTACCACTTGTTACTACTTCGGCCTGTAAGACCCCTGCGTGTGTGTGTGTGTGCTCTCCCACTTTCCCCTCTTCCCATTTCCCCTCTTCCCTCTCCCCCTCCTCGGCCCCGTTCGCTCGTGATACTGGCCGATTCAAATCAGGCAGTCTGTTCTCTGGCCCTTTGGAGCCAGGATCTCGCCCCGCGCACGGATTGGTAGGAGTATGGTTGCCGACGGGATTCGATCTGGGGTTCTGTGATACCGCCGGAACTACCGGTCCCAGATCGTCCATCGCAATCCGAATTAGGGCCGCATCCGACGTGGCAGCTGTCACAGCGGTACAGCCGGCGACTGCTACTGCTACAGCTGCTACGGCCGAGTCTACAGAATTTCTTGCGCATACGGACCGTCGTACTGATCATCATTTTGTGGACCTGGCTACGTCTCGTGCGCTGGTGGCGGACGGAGGTGCGTGTGTGTATGCATGTATGTATGTAAGACTCGGATTACACTGTGGGCCGCGAGAGCCGGGGGCCAAAGCCGAAATGTATGTATGTGCCAATGGAGAAGAGGATGGGGTCGGAGTTTCTTAACCCGTTTTTCCTCCCAAACCCCGGAAGCCCCCCCTTTCCCCAACAGCGAACCTTCTCGCACTCTCTTCTGAGGCCTCTTATGTCATCATATCACTCAACCTCCCCTCCCCCCTCTCTCTGTCTAGGCAACGTCCCCCCTAGAGACACACACACCCAGCCCACACAACCCCCACCCGCACAAACACCCACACACAAACACCCCCCCACGCACACACAACGCCCCCCTACCCCTCCCCCCCACACACACCCTCAACCACACACCCCGAGCCCTCAGGCTCCATCCGCATGGCCTGGTCGGGTGCCACCACTCTGTTGGGCGACGGAGTAGTGGCGACATTGGAGGAGGGGGTGGAGGAGGGGGGGGAGGAGGGGCCGCAATCCGGAAGGATGAGTGCTGACAGGGCAGTAGCAGCAGCAGCAGCAGCGGGGAAAGGGGGAGGGAAATGGAAAGGGGTAGGGGGAGGGGGAGGGGCTTGTCCTGTAGGGGTAGGGAGGGGGGCCCCGGAGGGGCGACCAGCAGCAGCAGATGACGATGACGAGGATGTCGTCGTCCACCCGAATGTGAGCGTTACATGCGCTGTTGTGGGTGGCGGCGGCGGCGGCGGCGGCGGCGGCAGAAGAGACTCTTCCTTTTCGCCGTCGCGGTGGTTCTCCGCCTCCCCCACCTCCTCCTCCTCCTCATCATCATCATCATCAGCAGCAGCAGCATCGTCATCATCATCATCATCGTCATCATCATCATCGTCATCATCATCATCATCGTCATCAGCATCATCTCGCGGGGGTGAAGTTGGCGGTGGTGTTGGCACCACTGGAGCTCGGAGGCGGCACCTGGCGGAACCCGAAGCGGCGGCGGCGGCGGTGGTGGTGGTATTGGCGGTTTCGGAGGACCGAATGGTGGTGGAGCTGGTCGAGGTGGGGGCGGATGTGAAGGTACGTGACGGGGGGGCGGGGGCGGGGGGTGGGGGCGGGGGCGGGGGGTTTGGAGGAGGTGGGGGCGGGGGGTGGGGGCGGGGGGTGGGGGCGGGGGTGGGGGCGGGGGCGGGGGCGGGGGGTGGGGGAGATTGGTGCGCAACCCTGCCCCCTCCTAGGCACCCTCCTACTCCTACCCCCCGTCCCGGGATCGGGGTAGACGGGATACATCCCAAGTAAGGTCTTAAACCAGCAATCCGCAATCCACTTCCCTATAACGAATTAGAAAATAATATATATGATATAAAAAATGTAAGATATGTACTATATATATGTTATACAAATTTTAATATTTATAACGTAGGGAAACTATAATATATATATATATATATATATATATATATATATATATATATATATATATATAAATTATATCGGGAAGTGGATTTAGGCGTGGTTTTTATATATTAAGTACATATAAAAATTAATGAATAAACAAAATAAAATATTAATCACCCACACGATGCTATTAGTCGTCCTGTTGACTTGGCCTCTGAGAGGCCGCTCCTCCGAAATCGCTCCGGAGGGCGGTGTGGGGGGGGGGATGGGGGGTGCTTATAATAAAAATACACAAAACGAAGTGCGCACGGTGCACATTCAGTTTTTTTAATCTTGGATACGACACGAAGGTGCATGGCCCGCACCCGTATCACCCGCTTACATCCAATAGCATTCATTCAAACCCATGGGAGCAGCCTGGGGTATCCAATCGTCCGAATCGGATGGGACAGTACAGTACGTACGGCATTTTCGTGTCCATTCTCTTCCCCCCTTCCTCCCCCCCTCCCCTCCCCCTCGGGCCCCCCTCCCACGCACACACATGGGAAATACCCCGGCCTGGTGGTTTCACACTCAGGCTGCCGTACGGGCGGCGGCGGCGCTGGTGGGGTCAGTGGACGCCTTCACTAGGCGTCTTGAGAAAGCGGTCGTGTCGTCGTACGAGGCGCTCCGTACAGTGCCGTACGACATCGGGTTGCCATCGGGAGCGCCGGCGGAGGACAAGAGGTCTGTGTGTATGTACATATGTATGTATGTGCACATGTACGTGCGGGAGCCCTCCAAATCTGTGCATCTGGGTTTCGACGCTCAATTTACTGAATTAGGCCTTGGGGGGGTTGGGGGGTTACAACCTTCACATTCTCCTCCCCCGTCCTCCCCGTCCTCCCGGAAATTTCCCGAACCCACACGCCCGCGCCTGCACCCTATACAATAGCTAATGGAGCTCGTACACTTGCACACACACATACACAGCCAATCATACACAATCAATATGATATAGCACGGACACGACAACAAATGTCTATCTCGGCTACATGCTACCTCTCCAACTCTCTCCCCCCCTTCTCTCCCCCCTCCAAAACAAACTTTCATAAAACACACGCACTCAGGTTGTCCCGCAAGCTGTACGACATTATGTCACTGAATACGGCACCCGGCTGGTCAACTCCCGATCGTACGCCCCACGGCCGTCAATGGCTGTGGGACAGCTGCTTCCATTCATTGGGTATGAACCTTGTAAATCACACTCTCTCCTGGGAACAACTGAAGGTGTGGGGGGGGGGCCCGGG